CGATTAAGCGCCGGGGCGTGTGATCTCCGCAGTAATCCGCTGCTGAGATTCGGAATCCGTGTTGGGGCCGCCGGGGGGGGGGGGGGGGCGGTTGGTTTCCTGCTTCCGCCGCCTTTGCTCCGGTCGTGGCTGGCCCTGGGCTAGCCTTATTGTTTCTGCCGTCTGGCCTCGATCTATTGTTTTTCCCTGTTTGCAGAGGATCGCTGCCAAGGGTCAAAATACGTGTATAAAATCAAAAGGATCTAAGGAACCGTCTCTTTATTGCATGGGTCTGAAGTCTTTTTTTTTCTTTTCCTCCCCACGATAATATCTTATGCTGTTCATTTTAGGTGCGGGAAAGCTTATCACGTTTAATCCGTACAGTCTCCCTTTGAGGGAGGCCTTGGTTATCTCCGTATTGTACGTGCCTTGCTAAGATCGAAAAGGCTCAATGGCTCGCCCCAAGGTCACTTTTTCAGTCCTTGGCAGAGGTGAGGGATATCCCGGCTCCTGTCTTTGGCTGCCCTGCTATACCAGTGCTTGGATTCTCTGTCAAATTCTGTGCTAGATGGAGGATCATAACCTACAGTCGCAGAAGCGTTTGCCAATTTAGCTTCACAAAAGGAAATCCCTAGCCCTTACGGTTGCAGGGAGAACTCTGGATCCACACAGAGACTGCAGGGTAAAACAAACCAAAGGCAAGGCTTTTCCCTTAAGGTGCAATGGGGGATGAATATGGCCCAGGCACGGATATGTTGAACAAGCATGGAAGATCCATTCTGCAAGTGCCCAGGCTAGCTGTACACACAGTGGTGCTTAAATGTGTTCCTTGACCTTGAGCAGACCGCCCTGGGCACTACCTGGCCCAGGGCAGATGTAAGGGAGGGGCCTTGCTAATCACTGTTGAGAGAGAGGGGTCACTGAACTGCAAGTAAGGGGGGGGGAGGGGTTGTCCTAGAGCAGGGGTGGCCAAAGTTGCTTAACGTAAGAGCCACACAGAATGAAGGTCAGAGGTTTGAGAGCCGCAAGACATGAACAGATATTACATGCACATTTTTATTGAAAAATATGCAGATTTGCTTTTTATTAACATTAAATTAGACTGTGTGAAAGAGCCACGTGCGGCTCCCAAACTGCCGTTTGGCCACCCCTGCCCTAGAGAGCGGAGAGGTGAGAGAGCACAGGACCTACCACACTTAAAGGGGCCCCATGTTTGCTTGCACCATGGGTGCCTGCGGACCTTCCTGTCTTTGAGATATGCCTCCGTCCACCACCAACACCCTTCCTCCAATTTTCTGGATTTTGCCCCAGGTTAAGACGCTGAACTGCAAGCTGTGGAAGGTCGGTAGTTCAGCAGTTTGAGACCTGAGTTGCAGCATGACGGAGTGAGCTCCCGTCTCTAGTTCCAGCTCCTGCCAACCTAGCAGTTCGAAAGCAAGAAATTGCAAGTAGAGAAATAGGTACCACTTCGGTGGGAAGGTAACAGCGTTCCGTGCGCCTCGGTGTTTAGTCATGCCGGCCACATGACCACGGAAACGTCTTCGGACAGCGCTGGCTCTTCGGCTTGGAAACGGAGATGAACACCGCAACCCTAGAGTCGGACTCGACTGGCTTTCGAGCAAGGGAAACCTTTACCTTACTTTTTGTTAATCCTGGCACTGAGATATATGTAGCAAGTTCCACTGATCCGGGTGCCAAATGTTGTGTGTGTGTAGAGTGCTATCAGGCTGCAGCCGACCTATGGTGACCCTGCAGGGTTTCCAAGGCAAGAGACTTACAGAGGTGGTTTTTGCCATTGCCTGCCTCTGCATAGTGACCCTGGGCTTCCTTGGTGGTCTCCCATCCAAAACACGAACCAGGGGCAATTCTTCTTAGCTTCTAAAATCTTATGAGATTGTGCTAGCCTGGGCCATCCAGGTCAGGGCAGAAAATATGTGTGAAACAAATGATGTGTATTATAATATCCACTTCTAATTCCAGAGGAATAGCCCTCTTGTGGCCCCTTAAAGAGTAACACGTTTTTGGTCCGGTATAAGCGTTTGTGGATTAGAGCTTGCAAAATGCAAAGGCTGGCTCCTCTCTGCAGACACTTTACGTAGGGAATCTGGGAAGAACAAGCAAGCAAGCCACAGGATCCAGGAGCCCTCAAATGCAGGAAGCCCGGACACCTTAGAGGAACCTGAGACTCCCCACCCTGTACAGCTGTCAACTAACTTACCATAGCTAGTGAATTATCTCTGTATTTCCCTAATTTGATTCCCCCCCCCCCCCTCCATAATTACACTACACCCTCTACTTCTGGCACTGCATGCCCCCTGTGCTGCTTATCTTCTTTTCATACCTCTTACATACAATATCTCTACAGTCGGGAGCCAGTTGCTGCCTCTGAAGAAGTGGACAGTGAAAGTGCAGAAGCCCGCAAAAGTGTATTCTGGACTAAAGTATGGTTTGTCTTTAAGATGCCACAGGACTCCTGTTTACTTTTACATCCATTTATACAGAGAGAGAGAGAGCCCAGGCCAACCTGATCTCATCAGATCCTCCTGGAAACTAAGCAGGGTCAGCCCTGGCTAGCGTTTGGATGGGAGACCTCCAAGGAATTCCAGGGTTGTGACGCAGAGGCAGGCAGCAGCAAACCACCTCTGAATGTCTCTTGCCTTGAAAACCCTACGGGGGGCCTCCATAAATCAGCTGCGCCTTGACGGCAAAAAACAAACCCGCACCCAGATATGTTCAGTCCACAGACTTGGTCTTTGGCCTTCACCAAGAATATAACCAGCACCCTGTTAGTTTTCTGAAGTGAGCACCGGCGTCATCTTCGCGGGGGCTGAGGGGCTTGCGCCTCTCCCAAACGTATTGCGCCTCCCCGGCCTTTCTACCCCCCACCACCCCATTTTGAAAGTGGAGGGTTCCCCCCCCTTCCGCTTTCTGTGACTTCGGCTGGATTGGGTGGGAGGGAACAAGTCAGAGTGGTGGGGGCTTCCTTCCTTCTGGAAGCTAAACTCCACCCCCAACTCCCAGCAGCACTCAGTTCAGCCTGAAGAGAAGCTGGAGCAGGCTGCACGTGGAGACTGGCTTGGCTTCCCTGCTTTTCCTGTGCGCAGGCAGCACAGAAAGAGCAAGGTAGGAAGCGTGCTTGTAGCTTGCCCAGGAAAGCTTGCACTTTGTCTGAATGTATGTGGGTCTTTAAAAGTGCTGCTGGCATCGGGAGCTCTTCTCCTCCAACTCTCCATCTCCCGGGGCCAGCTCTGAGCCTCTTTTTCTGTTTTGTAAGACTGTTAAGGAGACACAAATATGAATCTGTGATGCTGCCTTGTGATCTGCAATACAGGAGAAGGCGGCATGAATCCTTTTTCTGAGGTGGCTGAACAGCACTGGAGAGATTCTGGGAGTGAGGCCTCGTGCAGTTACTCCAGAGTAGCCCTATTGGGTTGCATAGGGGCTTCATGCCTTGCTGAAGCTCCCTCCTGGAGAGGACGGGAAACATTTTTCCTTCCTCTGCCGCACTGCAAGGGTTAAACTCCCAGAGTTACCCTTCCCCCCCATCCTTCCGATATAATATATAACCGGGAATCACCGTGTCCCACTGATTTTCCTCATCCCACCAAGTTTCTGAAATACCCACAATGTCTATTTTCCCCTCCAACACCAAGCACTCCAACTCCCCCATTTTACCTTGTCTTGTGAGAAAAAAAATCTACTCTGTGACCTACTAGCATTAAAGTTGTGAGCGAGCAATTTGACTACTGCATTCATTAGTTTGCTTTGGAGCCCTCCTTCCTGACCTAGGACAAAAATGTGTGAGCTAGTTACAGCTTATCTACAGACATGAGAGATCAGTTCCACTGGAGAAAACTGATATTTTGAAGGGAACGCTGTGGCATTGTACACCCATCCTCCCCAGTCTCTTTCCCCAAATTTCCAGGAGTTTCCCAGCCTGGATCTGGCATCTCCTGCCAGTGGCCAAGAGGGACCTGGCAACCCTAGTATGAGCTTTTTAAACATACATTTTATTCAAACTTTTGTTGCTCTTAAAGGTGCCACTGGACTCAAACCAGGATTTACTATTTGCTGAAAAGAGTTTGTTGCAGATAGCGTGCATTAAACAAACCATGATTTACCACTACGTCTGAATGCAGCTTTACATTCAGGCCAAGAACCTAACTATATGATGCACTTTCCCTGGTTCTGTTTGCTGGTCAAATAAACCACTGTACTCTGGGAGTTTCTTGAATTGCATGGGTGCAATTCAGATGGGAACCATGGCTAGCAAAGAGAGGAGGGCTTACGTCTTCCAGCTGGCTGCACTATTTTACTGGCATGAATTTGAGCCCAATCCCTGCATTACCTGAGTATAGATTAACTCCAAAACACATCTGACCTGCAGATAGATCCAAGAATTAAAAGTCCAATTTGCCACAATGGCCTGTGATGTCACTGGCTCCTCCCTATGATGTCATTGGGTCCCAGTTCTTTAAATGACTTAGCAATGCCTCTGACCTAGCCCCAGCCCCCCCCCCCCCCCCAGGAAACTGGAAAGTCTACACCCTTGGAAGTGAGTGCCACTTGGATTACTCCCAGAGTAGAAAATTATTCATGTCTGGGTTCTCTTTTCTGTCCAACAGGGGGAAAGATGGTGAATGAAGATGAAGAGGGGACTTCTCAGCAGGGAGGCTCCAAACGAGCAGAACCATCGGGGATGCCACTCGGCAGCTGCCAGAGCCAAATTTCTCTGGACCTTGAAGTAGCAGAAGACAGAAGTGAAACTAGCTCAGAGACCGAACAGGGAAACTCCATGCAGCAGCAGGAAAATGAGTCTTTCCTTAGCAATGGAGATGTTCCAGCGAACGAAACTGCAGCTGTTTATCCAATGCAGACGCAATACATTTGTCCCGTCTGTGGCGAGTGCTTCAGTGGGAGCTCCTGTCTTCTTGAGCATCAGAAAGGGCACATAGAAGAGAAACCGTATATATGCCCTGTGTGTGGAAAGGGCTGCAGCCAGCAAATCGACTTGGTTGAACACATGCGGATCCACACGGATGAGAAGCCATTCACTTGCCTGGAATGTGGGAAAAATTTCCTGTTCAGTTCGGATCTGGTCTCCCACCAGAGAGTCCACACGGGAGAGAAGCCCTACATCTGTCTGGAATGTGGGAAAGGCTTCTCCCAGAGCTCACAACTTATGTCTCACCGGAGAGTCCACACTGGGGAGAAGCCCTATGAATGCATCATCTGCGAGAAGAGTTTCAGGTCAAACTATGACCTGGTCAACCACCAGAGAAGCCACACTGGGGAGAAGCCGTATATCTGCTCCGACTGTGGGAAGAGCTTCACCCGGAGCTCACACCTGATCTCCCACCAGAGAGTCCACACGGGGGAAAGGCCCTATCCCTGCGGCATCTGCGGGAAGCGTTTCCGTGACTGCTCGCACCTGATTAGGCATCAAAGGGTCCACACCGGCGAGAAACCCTATGAATGTTCCATCTGTGGGAAAAGCTTCCGGGTAAACTATGACTTAGTTACCCATCAGAGGAACCACACAGGAGAAAAGCCATATGAATGCCCCGATTGTGGGAAGGGCTTCAAGCGGAGCTCACATCTGATCTGCCACCAGAGAGTGCACACGGGAGAAAAGCCCTACCCTTGTGGCATATGCGGGAAGAGTTTCAGTTACAGCTCAGACCTTATTAAGCACCAGAGAATCCACACGGGGGAGAAGCCTTATGAATGTCACATCTGCGGCAAGAGCTTCCGTATCAACGCTGACCTGGTCACCCACCAGAGAATCCACACAGGGGAGAAGCCCTACACCTGCCCCGACTGTGGGAAGTGCTTTGCTCGGAGCTCGCGCCTTGTATCCCATCAAAGAGTCCACGTGAAGGATGGAAGCCTGGGAATAACTGTCCCTGAAACGAATCCCTCACCTGTAGCGACAACCTGGTCACAAGCGCCCGATAACCACTGGGGCCAGGAGGAGGCAGTGGCGCCCTCCCCTAACCAGAGCAGTGACCCTGCTAACTCGACTCATCAGCTCAGTGAGGTAGCTTCAGCTACCCACTTGGGTGACATAAAAGTAGAGTGTCCTTGATTCCTGAAACTGAAAAACAGACTGGGCCTGGTACCTAGATAGGAAATGCTGGCTTTTTGAGTCACAGCAGAACAGTAATTGGAATTGGGGATCTGCCCGCCACATCAGTTAGGCACCCCTTTTTGAGCAAAGTTAAAGAGGAGGCTTGGGTACGCCTTATATTGACCAAACTGTGGAGTCTGCAAGCTATCTTCTGTGTTGTGCATATCAGGGCGAGTGCTGAATGACTTGGAAGCACAGCCAAAAGGGTATCCACACCTATGGCATGAAACTGCCAGCCGTATCTATGTCAAAAAACCAGTCTTGAGAGTTGTTTGGTTGTTGTCGCTTCCCCAAAAAGAATCCGTGGAAATGTAGCTGTTGTGTGGGTGCAGAGAAATTTTGGTTAGGGTTTCCTAGATGCTTTCCAGGGTACTTTGTGGGGAAGTACACACAAATTGGGGAGTGTGGTCATAAAGAAACATAATGGGACTTGAGGAGGCTGAAAAGAGCAGCTGACCTATACAGATCTCTTGGGGATGACCCAAGGGAGCAAGAAAAATCAACTAGTTGTTGCTTGGAAGAGCCCTCAAAAATAGATACTTTTCAATTAACCCTTTTCCCCTCCCCCTTGGGTTATTCCCAAGAGGTGGTTATAAGTAGTTTATATTGCGGTCTGTAATATAAACATGGCTCCCGCAGGCTTTCTTTGTAAGCACAGATATCGTTTCAGGGAAGCGACGCTTTGTTCTTTGTCGTCTTCTAGAGTCTTCACCTGAATTTGTGTGTGTTTTAAATTGCTATCGGTAGATAAAAAGTATTATATCTGCATAGTGTGGAGCTTTAAGGTCACTGATAAAAATTATTTAATTTAATTTATAGAGCATGATCCTTTCCTGTATGGGTGCAGTGTCTGTGCCTGGAGAAATCCGCAGAGCCCTGGATTTTGTTCTGTTTCCCCCCCTCTTCCATGCCCCCTTGGGTGTGCGCATATGGGGGCATGTGTCGCAAACCCACCAAG